ACTTTATCTATTAAATTTTAGCTGAAAAAAAACCCTTTTTTCTAAGTAAAACCAAGAATACATTTTAAAAAAAGCTAGAAAATACAGATTTAAAAAACTCTGTACCACCACTCAGACCTAAATTCTATTAGCCTTTTAGTATATATCCTTCTAGTTTTCCTCTCAATTATCTCTTATTTTTATATTTTATAAAACATGGATCACATTAATTTTTTATAACAGCAGCTAAACTTTTTTAATAGATCATGAATCTATGCATGAATCTATGCAGTACATATTATAAAATATTATTTTTAATTGATGCATATATATTATTGCCAAAATTTATTTAATTATCACTTTATCAGCAGTCATTCGATTCTTTCAGTTTATATTGTTCTGGTGTCACAATAAATAGCTTCCCAGAAAATATATTTGAATATACTTGGTTCCAAGAAGGAAAGTTGTTAGTTCAAACTTTCTGATAAAGTTTAAAGTTTTGCCAAATTGCCTTATAGAAGACTTAATCAATTTACACTTTTGGCCACAGTGTATGAGTAATGCTTGGACTGACTTTTACAATTTCTAGTTCACACCTAAAAAGATAGAAATGTATCTAAGATGTTCCAGGAAGAACAGGCTACGGGGTTAACCGAATTTCCTGACATTGGTTATGCTTTTGATGACCAGGCTTGTCATCATGAGTTTGCAGTAATACTCTAATGACAGGCTCCAAAATGCAGCAGGAAACAAACCCAACAGAGCAACATTATTGCTTTCTTTTCAAAAAGACAATAAAAATGCTTCCACAATGAGGAATAGATTTCACATAGCATCATTTTCTATTTTTCATATTTGACAAGCATTGCTGACAAAATTAATAATAATAATATTTATTGGTCACTTATTATATGCCAGGTACTACCCTAAATGCATTACATATTTCATCTCATAGTCTAGAGGCTAATTTGATATGGATTCATTGAAACATCCGGCTCATGTTTTAAATTAACTAGACCACAATAGTCAAATGGACTTTGTCTGGTTTGCTAAGACTCAGCAACGCTCGCCCTTACATCCCAGAAATGCTGGATTTTCCTTTTGAAAAGTACGAAAGCCATGGAGACTTACTACTCTTACCATTTTCTACTCTTATTCAACTAAATCAATTTTGCTTAGATTATTTTTTAAAAGATAAAATAATTAGTACAATCTCTTCACTCCCTCTCCCTCTCAGCAGCTTCTCCCAGCTCTTGGGAGAAATCTAAACTGAAGAAGCAATCATGCAAGACCTGGACACGGCGTACCCTCTGATCTCACCTGGCAGCGCTCTCCCTTCCCTCACTGTCTGTGACAATGAACTCCTCTGTTCCTCACAGCGATAAGCTTGTTTCTCCCTTGGAGTCTTTTCATTAGACACTTTCAGTGCCTGGAGTGCTATTGTTTCTGGTCTCTTCTGATCTCTGCTTGTCCATCACCTAAACAAGAAGCCATTTCCGACCACCAGTCTATAAGAACCACTGGGTGAACTTAAGTTTTCATCCTATTTATTTTTTTATTTTTGACTTTTAATTTCTTTATTGATTAAGGTATTGCATATGTGTCCTTATCCCCCCATCACTCTCCCACCACCACTCATACCCTCACCCCCCTGGTGTCTGTGTCCATTGGTTAGGCTTATATGAATGAATACAAGTCCTTTGGTTGATCTCTCCCCCTTACTCCCACCCTCCCCTACCTTCCCTCTGAGGTTTGACATTCTGATCAATGCTTCTCTGTCTCTGGATCTGTTTTTGTTCATCAGTTTATGTTGTTCATTATATTCCATAAATGAGTGAGATCATGTGATATTTATCTTTCTCTGACTGGCTTATTT